CCTTCCGTGCTCCGAGGTTTGTAAGGATCTTTAGCCCATTGACATGAAAATCTTCTAGATGGTTGTAGGGCAATTGGACCAATCAAATAGCCGAAAAATGACGTCCCGTATTCTTAAAAAGAATCGGAAAAAAACACAAAAACCCATCGAGTGAAGTAATATGAAGCAAAAATGGGCTAACCTTTTTTTTAAAAATTGTAAAGCCAGAATAAAAAAACAAACACCAAAATATTTTTTACACTGAATCAAAGCCAAGCTAATATGTATTTGTTTTGTTCCAAGACCCTGGCTTGTGGATTTGACTCAGGAAAGGGTTTTGGCATCATTATCTCAGTTCACCTTTCTCCCTCAGGGTACAAGCCTTGGAACGCAGCAACGGATTTCGGATATCCGCCGCATCACAGCCGCTGCAGGAGGGATTGGCCTTGTGCAGGTTGCCACGGAGCAGGCGGCTTTGGTAAGTCTCCACCCCCCGAAGCCCCTGGTGCCTGCTTTGTGTGCTCCCCCGGCAGCCCCTAACTGTTCTGATAGGCAGTCTCTAAGGATTTCTTTAAGGTTTGCAGTCTAGGGAAGCAGAGAAGTTGACTAGTGGATTAGAAACAAATTCTAAATCCAGTATCTACAACTGTTTGTTTCACAAATGAGGTAACCGTAGGAAAATGCAATCAACAAAACTGAAATAGCCTTTGCTCTGGTGTGAACAGGGGACTCCTAGAATCTCATTAGATTTCGGTCTTTCACCTCCTGGTCTGTAAACAGGAATTCTCTTAGAAGATCTCAGACGGACTTAAATTTTGTGTCTGTGTATATTTTTTTAACTAAAATTTTTATTCTTCAGCTCCAGAATTTCCATTTGGTTCTATTTTATGTTGTCTGTTTGTTGAACTCATTTTTTTCTTGTATTGTTTTCCCGATTTCATTAAATTGTTCTTCTGTGTTTTCTTGTAGCTCTCTATGCATCTTTAGAGCAGGTTTTAAAAAATATTATTTGTTTGGTGGTTCATGTATCTCCATTTCTCGGGGGCCAGTTGATGGAGGTTCACAGGGCTCCTTCGGTGTGTCATGTTTCCCCAATTCTTCATGATCCCTGTAGCCTCTCCTAGACTTTATGGACTGACTTCAGTCAGGAAAGACCTTCACTTGTGGGTGGAGGCATCCTGGGGTGGGCTGTGATCCTGGATCTAGTGGGATAGAGCACCAGGTATGGGGGCTTGTGGTGGCCTTGGGTCCAGAAAGCCATGCTGTCTAGACAGCTCAGGCTTCCGGGGTTCGTATCGCCAAGTGCGGAGTACTTGATGAGCACTGTGGAGGACCTGCACTGGCTGGGAGGCCTGCTGGGGTCCTCAGTGATGCTTCAGGGGTCAGCAGGTAGGGGCCAGGGCAGGCAGTGGTGACAGCCAGAGCTGACGGTGCCCATGCCCTCGGTGGCGGGGCCGGCTGTAGATGCCTGTGCAGTGTGGTGGCAGGGGCCAGCTGCAGACACAAGCAGAGCGGCAAGAGCCATGACCAGCAGCAAGGGCCAGGGCTACCTGCAGGTGCACTAGCAGCTTCGGGGCCCTTAGCTGTCAGCGTGCACTCCTGTGGCTTCAGCATCTCACCACAGGCTGTGCACAGCTCCAAAATTTGTCAGGAGTTGGGCCAGTGGGGCGCAGGCGTGCAGCTGGAGTGGCTCCCTGCAGGGGATGCCAGTGGCACAGGCTGGTGACAGGAGTCAGAGCTGGAGCTGAGCCAACAGTGGCTGTGGAAGCCCCAGCTATTGGGGTGTACTGCCGCAGCCTAATGAAAACCTAGCAGTCAGCATTATCCAAAAGCCATTGCTGACGCCCAGCCTGTCGCTCCATTTAGCCCCATTCTCTGCACTAATGGAAGCTGCTCACTGCCACTTGAATGAGGACCTTTCATACCTGCAAAAAGTAGCAGGTTTCCTTTGCATTTTTCTCTAGCTCACACTATGTTTGTTCATGGGGCCAAGAATTCCACCACCTTCTGTAAACCACAGAGATACACATTTTTAGACAGTGAGAGGGGGACCCCTGGGATTTCTCTTTTTACAGACATCACAGAAGTTGCCTCTTGATTATCATTTGCTGATTGATTGATTAGCTGAGATCCTCTGAATGAAGAGATGGCTACACATTTCTAATAATTATGTTAATATCGCATAATTCAACAAATCTATATGCTTACCATAGCCAAAGAGTTAACATATAAAAGTTTGAAGAGGATGGCAGTTGCTTTGCTTCAGAGCTGATCTAATTTCTCTATTCTAGTCACATCTAATAAAGAAAATACTTGCTAACATTTTGATGCTGACAGTGTGCCAAACACTGATCAAAGCTTTTTGCCACAATCCTATGATGGAGACACTAATAATAAACCCTTTTTAGAGATGAGAAAACTGAGGTTCAGAAAGTTGAAGTAGGTTGCAAAAGTTAATACATTTAAGAAGTGGCAGAGCCTCCTGCCTGACAAAGTCCCATGGGATCCATAACACTGGAGGGCGACTTGGCCTCGGCCTTGCCTGGCAGGCCTTACATTTAGACGTTTGACATTATCTCCACATGCGGTGTTACAGGCAGCCATGGAAGTACAACAGAGAACTGAAAGAAGTCTGTCATACAACTTGGACCACACTGTCCTTAGTACGCTATGGAGATACACACACATTTCATTTTTGTATATGTTAAAGTCTTTAGTTAGGTAAACATAAACATTTTATTTATTTTTTTAGACAGAGGGGGAGAGGAAGGAGAAAGAGGAGAGAAACATCAATGTGTGGTTGCTTCTCATGTGCCTCCTATTGGGGACCTGGCCTGCAACCCAGGCATGTGTCCTGACTGGGAATCGAGCCGGCAAACCTTTGGTTCGCAGGCCGGTGCTCAATCCACTGAGCCACACCAGCCAGGGCTAAACATAAACACTTAAAATATACCATAGTTCTGAAAACCCATTTTGATATTTCTTCATTTTGTAACATACAGAGAATCACAACAATAAAATTGACCTGGCCATGTCTTGACATTGGAGAGGTCCCAATGCACAAAATCATAGGATAAGGAGGGAAATTTAGAGACTGTCTTGTCCATCTTCATTTCACATGTGAGGAAATGGAGACACAGAGATGTTGAGTAACCTCTCCAAGGTCACACAGCTAGAGCGCCCTTCTACGGACAGAGAGACTAGTGTGCTTTGTCCTGCACTCGCTACCAAGCTCATGCTTCCAAGCAAACAAGCAAGAAGAGAAGTCATACATGTGGGCACGGGTATCAGGAACATTGTGGGGTCCAGGAAGCATTGATCTGAGGGCCAATGGCTCCTTTCAATGTAATCTTTTTTGTGAATATGTGCAGAAAAAGATTACATTTCTATAGCATTTTCACATTTCAAAAACTTTTTGGAACCAAGATTCATTATTGAGTCACGTGAACCACCCTGGGAGGGGGCGTGTGTAGGCACTGCTATTTCTTCTTTCTAGATGGGGAAACAAACATCAAGAAATGTTACACACCTTCCCCAAGGTAACACAGCTAGGTAGCGGCAGGGCTGTTCCTGTAATTTAGGACTGCTGGCTTGAGACAGAGCACTGAACAGCACTGCTTTCCTGTACATGATATGTCTCACGGGAATTCCAGATGAGAACAGCACAAGCATTTCTGCTCTCCCGATGCTATTCATAAACCATTTTCAAACCCAGAGTATTTTCTCTGAGAGAAACTATTCTACATGTGATCAGTAACTTAGGAAAAAAAGAAAATTATATCTTCTAAACTATATTCATAAAGTAAATAGTATTTCAGGAAAGATAATTAAACATTTCCAATGCTCCTAAAGTGTTTGTTTTTAGTGGTGAGGTGTAAGATATATTTAAGTGAAACCACCATATTGCAATTAAAAATGCAGCCCTTGTAGTTGCAATTCTTTGTCTAAAGCCCTATTACAAAAGTGGGTATTTTAATTCAAAAAACAAAAACCAGGCACTTCCAGCTTTCCTCCCAGTGTGGAGCTACCACTTGCAGCTGACACAGACAACGGAGAAAACACACAAACAGCATTTGATCTTGCCTTGCTGTAGGATGTTTTCATCTTTCAAGAGACGGAGGGAAAAACAACCTCAGAACTTTACCGCCAAGACTTCCAAATTTGTTGCAACACAACATAATGGCAAAATGCTATTTTCTTAGTGCTCACATTTTTTTTTTTTTAAAACCAACATGGCCAAGAATGCCTTGTTTCATTCCACTCTCAATTTGGAGATGGCAGAGATGCCATGGGTTTTTTGGAGCAAAGCATCGAGTCTAATAATTCAATCTTATCCTCTCTGTTTAATCTGTACTTGAGGCATTTATTTCATGTTTATACTGGTTTGACACTAATCATGCTTAAAAGAGATTTTGTACCGTTTTCCTGTGCAAAGCCGAGCTACAAAAGTAGACTTAACAATGCCAACCACCCCTTTCCCAAGCTTATCAGTAAAAAAAGCATTCAGCCTAAGAAAACACTTCCAGTGTAAACAAGAAAGAGAATTGCACATCTAGCCACATTCCACTGACATCTGTCTGAATAGAGAGAAGTACAGAGACATGTTAAAGAATTTCTCTTTTGATTTAACACCAATATGCCCATTTCTCATACTGCTTTTGATATATTATTATAAGCGATTTGTTGCATGGCTCTTGTATTACATAGAGGAAGCAAGGTATAAAAAAAGCCTTAAATATACTTTAAAGTTCTATACAATGTCATACTTTTCAACCTACTTTAATTATAATTAAGTTGGCTTAAAGATACAGTGAAATCTTATACAATTTATTTATAATTGACATATCTAATATTAGCTGTTTAAAGGATGTCAGCTACCACCCACCCCCATCTCAATTCTCTTAAGACTGATTACTTGGTCAAGGCATGTATTGTAGTTTCTTAATGATAAAAGCATTTGTTTTTATGATAAGGAATGGAAAGCAAACTAGCTGCATAGCTTAATAATTCATCAGACATACCTTGTTTGAAGAGAGCAATTTTTTTTCAAGAATTTTTCACCACACAGAATGGATATCCTTTTTTCCTTAAGCTTTTCTGCATCACAAATCCCATCCAAATTATTCTAAAAAAGAAACAACAACAAGAGGTCCAAGCACCTTTTCTTCTCAGAGGAGCTAATCAAACATTCCCATCAACCTCTGAGCCCTTTGAAAAGCACATTTTACACCACACACACACACACACACACACACACACGCACACACGCACATGCACGCTGCTTCTCACACTGGTTTTAGTGCTGAATTAGGCGGTCCTCTTTCAAATTTCCACTCCCACTTGCTTATTTTAGTGGGGGGATAAGGATTTCTAAATATCCTTTTCTAGCCCAAAGCAAACATTTTCAGTAAGCAAATTCTACAATTAGAAATTCTAAAAAGTAGAAGAGAAGCACCTAGCTAAATTGAAAAATGAAAATACAGAATATAAAGACAACTTCAGCAGGGCAATTCAGTTTTCTCTTTCTTTTTCAAATGCTAGTGAACAGTTGGATTAAACTGCAGAAAGACAACTGCAAAAACCACCAAGCTGAATCAACTAGCCTCTCAGTTTTGGAGTGAAAATGCTTACTTTTCCTACATGTCAGAACTCTTTTTTGGTTTAGTTTGCTTCGGTCCCTCTGCATTTTGGCAAGCTTACTATCGTCTTTGCTGCTAGTGACCGGACACAAGATAATGATAGTAGGAAGCAAAACCTGACTCATGCATGTTTCAAAAACCCAATGATGGGGAGCTCACATAAGAGGCAAAATCTGCTGATTTTAGTAATTTATATATTAGTGTCATCAACTAAATTGAAGGGATTCAGTCCCAAAACATGCATTTACATGTCACAGCGTCATAAAAACCAACCATAGAAAAGTGTATCTGGTGCTCCTTGAGCCTGAAGTGTGTACCGGTGGGGCAGAGCATCTCCTTTCCGGCAGGCAGCGTGGGAGGCAGCGCAGAGCCGTCCCTCCTCCTGCGGGGGAGCCGGCCCAGCGCAGCAGAGTCTCGCCGTCCGCCCGCAGCCCTGCCATGCTCGCCTGCTGGCCCTGAGACCGCTCCTTATGTAAGATTATGGTTTGCATGTTATTTGACCGTGCTTTTTCTTCATTTGGTTCTGCATTTAAATTATTTCTCAATCCTGTTTCTTCTGTAAAATCCTGAGCTTAGGTCCACAGGTGGTAAGGATGGTGCTGTCACACAGAAGGGGGCCTGTCCCACTGTTTGAGTTAGGGACAGTTCAGATGAAATGGCAACCCAAGGATTAATATGATATCATTAATATTAATAATGATGCTAAATGCCATTTATCAAATACTTTTGCTAGGCATGGCGATAAACCCTCTACATGTATCATCCCATTCACTACTTAGAAAAATTTAGAGGGGTTAGTACTGCTATTTCATTTTCCAGCAAAGTGCTATGTTATGACTTAGAGCTTCTTTTATTCATTTAATTTGTTTTCTTATGAAGAATAAGGTAGAATCAAAGGTACATGTACTGAAAAGCATATGAAGAGATGCTCAAAGAGAAATGCAAATTAAAAAGCAACGATGTTTGCAGCAATGAAAAATTTTGGAAATATGTAGCAGTGGTTGCACAACATTGTGAATGTAATTAATGCTAATTAATTAACTTAAAATGGTTAGAATGGTAAATATTTTTGTTATATATATTTACTACAATAAAAAGTAGTTAAAGAATACAAATTCCTTTTTTTAAGAAGCAGTGAAATACCTTTATTTTCATCATCTTGGCAAAAATTAAAAAGCTGGAAAATGCCCCTGACAGACCTGGCAGCCCTCCTGGGCTGTTGGCAGCGTCGGCCACTGTGGCTGTTCCACAGAGCTGTCCCGAAGCCCCTGGTCCCATTCTGTGTGTCCCCTAGGATGCTCTGGTGAGCTTCTTGCCCAGGGCCATGAGAAATCCACCCCTGGAAAATAAATGAGTTAAGTAAGGGAGATGCTCAGTATGATGTATTTTGCAGCAGCTTAAGGCAGAAAACTAGATGTGGGGTTTGAGCATCAGTGCCAAGGCTGGATCACCTAAGTTTGACTCTTGGTTTTGGCACCTGACATTTGGGAAGTAACCTAACCTCTGTTTCTTAGTTTTTTTCATCTGTAAAATGAGACAAAGAATAAAGTCTATATCACAGGGTTATGACAATTAAAGGAATTAATACTTGTAAAGTTCTTGGAATTATGCCTCATATGAAGCAAGTACTAAGTTTTTTTTGTTTTGTTTTGTTTTTTAATAAAATGTACATCAACACTACTATATTCATATTTTCTTCCTGTGTAACAAGTTACCAAACTTTCTGTCTTAAAACAACACCCATTTATTATCTCACAGTTCTGTAGGTCACAGTCTCTGTTCAGGGTCTTATAGGGCTGAAATCAAAGTGCCAGTTGGCCTGGATTCTTATCTAGAAGCTCTGGAAAAGAATCCACCTTAAGTTCATTCAGGTTGTGGGCAGAATTCAATTCTTGCTCTTATAAAATTGAGGTCCCTGTTTCCTTGCTGACTGGCAGCCAAGGGCAGCTCTCAGCTTCTAGGGGTAATCCCACTCCTGGTCACATGGCTCCCTCCAATCCATAAGATACCCTTGGGTGTTGAATTTTATTTAAGCTTGGATTCTCCCTGCCTTCCTCTTTTTTAACAACCCCGAGATACTGCTTTTCAAGGGCTCTTGTGATTACTTAGGCCAATGGGATAATCTGATTACTAACTATAATTACATCCTCAATGTTGCTTTGACCTGTAACGTAACATCACCCTGCTGCAGGGATGAAGATCCAGGAAGCCGTCTGAGAATTCTGCCTCCCACAGCCACTGATCTTAAAAACATTATTCTGGAGGAAAGTAAGAAACAGAATGAGAAACACAATACAATATTGGGATGGTTAATTTTATGTGCCAACTTGGCTATGCCACCAGGAGCTAGGTATTTGGATAAATGTTATTTCTGGTTGAGTCTGTGAGGGTGCTTCTGGGTGAGATTAGCATTTGAATCTGTAGACTGAGCAAAGCAGATGGCCCTCTCCCGTGTGGCGGCAGCACTCACTCCACCGAAGGCCTGAAGAGAGTGAAAGCCTGAGGAAGAAAGAACTCTCTCTGCCTCTCATCAAGTTGGGACCGTGGCCTTCCTCTGCTTTGGGGCTGGGACTACACCCTTAGCCCTCTGGAATCTCCAACTTGCTGATCGTAGATTTTGGATAGAAAATTTATCTGTCTGTCCGTCCGTCCATCCATTCATCTAACTAATCTCCTATTGGTTTTGTTTCTCTAGAGAACCCACACTATTATTAATACAGTTATGAAAAAATATGTACATAAAACAAGATGTGTTTTGCACATAACTGAATGTATGCCCACGAGCCCCATGGTGCCTCAGAGCCTGTACTTGCTGTCCTCTCACTTTCCTGGTGCACACGCTCGCCTTCTGCAAGTCCGTGCTCCAATGTCACCTCCTGGGTAGGGCCTTTCTTGGCCACCCTGTTTAAAATGACACCGGAACCCCCCAGCATTTTTTCTCCCTCTTCTCTGTTTTACTTTTCGTCACAGTACTTACTACTCTTTGATAGTATTTACTACTTAATTTTTTTATTATGCATTCACATACTAGAATGTAGGCTCCTGGAAGGCAGGGTTTTTAAAATCGGTTTTGGTCACTGATGTGTTCCTAGCCCTTGAAACAGATACGTAATAGGTATATATAATAAATATGGACTAAGTGAATGATTACAAGTATATTAGAATATTTACCTATGGGGAGGGAGAATTGGTATAAAATGGAAAAAAACATTTAAGCAAAAGTCCTGGAGTCTCGTGTTGACCAATGATGATCATGCTGTGAATCGGTTCAACTCTCCAACCCAAGGCCGGCAGCAGCAACATTTTACCTATAAAACAGTCAAGTTGGTAGCCTCAGGGAAATCTAACTTCTTTAAAACAAGATCACGGCTTCCTGGTAAGGGCCTTGAACTTGTTACATGGCATGAACTGAACTTCTAGATTATTCCTAGTTGAGAACAGAAATTGTGATGTTCAGTTTTCCTGCATTGCTACTCAAGGTTCTGTTTTGCTCGTGAATCCCCTATGGTTGCTCGAAGACATCAGTCCTTTCTGAAATAGCTGTTTGTCACTATATCCACTTAGTGTCACAGTTTTGTACTGTATTTAGTGCAAAATCTCAAATCTCTTTTAGAACATTCTGTATTAAAAGTTTTTATTATTTTCATAAACACTGAACTTGATGGCTCTTTAAAATACTGCCTTATTTTTTTCTCTTTTGACTCCAGAGATAGAACTCAGGGAAATCAATGTACACGTCATATTACTAATCCATTCTTTTATGTGACTTTTAAAAATGCAGGATGGCAATTTAAGAGGCTAAGTCATGAGGTAGCTTTTCAGACACCCCTGATGCTTTGATTCTATGCCAGTATAAAACACAAGAGTTACACCTTTTATAACACAAGCTCACTGAAGTGTTGAAGGCGATATTGTACTTAGTGTTACATCAGTTTTACATAGAAATGTGATTTGCCTTGAACTCCTCTACAATAGTTTTGAGGCTTTTTTCTCCACGCACTTTGGTAGAAGCTTGCTGCACTGAGCAGGCGTCCTTGCAGTTCCCTGGCCACTGTTGAATGTTACTGCTGAGAACACATGTTCTGTGTAGTGTCAAGGGGAGTGGAAAATTGGCTAACATAATTGACTTTTGTTTAATTTATATTATCACTACCTGTGTGAAGCAAAGAGGTTACATAGAAGAAAAGCATATCTTTCAAAAAACTGGTGGAACCAAATAGAGAGCATCAATAGCTTACAAATAGGTAGGTAGACTATAAGTGGACAAAAGGGGTTTTGCCAAGGAATGTAAAAGGGCCTCTGAAACTATAAGGGAGAGTTCTTAAGTATATATCAGAGGGAAAAATGGATTTGAGATTTGATAGAAGTTATTGATTATGATGTAACAGGTAAATGTAGTCCAAATGTGGTCCAAAGGAGATAGTGGACCGATAGAATTCATTTTTTTTTCCTTTGTCTGTTAAAAATTGTTGGGAAGATGACTATTTCTAAATGCTTCCCTGAAATAAATGAGCTGGAACCACTGTAGAAGGTCTGGAAAAAGTCCAGCCTTTGTTAATACAATGAGAATTGTTGTGAGCGACACTGAAG